AATTAACTGGATATTTTGGGGGGATTATTTGTTGAAGTTTTCTCTCTCTTTTTTAAGTAGATCAACTTGACTTTTTTTCATTGTCTTCATAATTATCTGCAGTTCTTTTTTTTTGTCATATTTTCCACTTTTGTTTTACTCAAATGGACAGAGGAGTACTTCAAATGGCTAGTTTAAGGATTTCCCCCTCACATGCAGACACGTAAACTTCACTGAAGTTCTGCAAGTTCTCACAAGCAAACTCTCCTGCCATGAACACGTCAAGGAATTGCTACTAACACAATAAACTTAAAAATTACCACAAACCTTATCTCCTACCAACAGGCCTTTCACTTAAGAGCCAGCAGCATTTAGTGCTTTATAGTGTTTAAAATTTGTTCAGTAGTGGTGTTTCTTCCACTGCATAAATCAGACCATCATTAGTACATCTCACCATTAACTTACTCTGTCACTAAACATAGCTTTCTATGTTCAGATGGCATTCATTACTCCAGAATAACCTCCCTGAAAAAAAGCTGTGAAAATACTCTTCCTGAATTTCAACATTTAGTGTTATCTAGCTTTCATATTACAGCTGGGTTTTTTATCAACAGTCTTGAGCTTCCTGACCCATTTAGGTGTTCAGTGCTGTTAGGATAATAGTCAGTTAGTGGTCCAATTTCAAAAATGTAAATAATTTTCCAGTTCCAGAAATGTAGAAATATAGTCCTTTATCTAAAGATTCCTGAATACATATCCTCTTGCAAAGATTGATTCTTTTTTTTTTAGGTCAAAGCACTTAATCTTAGGACTATAATTTATATAACATAGCCTCTTGGAGGCCAGTATGTTTAACAATAAAAAATGTTTGAGAACTTGAATATGTAGATTATATTTTCTTTACTTTTCTATATTTGGGAAAGCCTTTTATATTCTTTTTTTCACTGAAACTAAAGAACTTCTTGCACTGATCATCTTCCAGTTGGTTATGTTTTAGCTAAAGAAGTGGTACCTGGAGTGGTCTCCTTTTTAGCTATATTCTGCCTCACTGCACTGACATAGTCAAGGCCTTTTTTTCTGGTGGTAGCAGCAGTCTGCAAATACATTTGCAACTCTTTCTGCACTATTGCTACAGGCCTATCGGTTAAATCTTAAGTACTAATGAATCATTAAAAAGGGTATTAACATATTGTGCTGGCCTTATGTGTATGTCTTATTCTTCACAGTTTTATAGCAACTTTTATTAAAAAACCTTATTACAGAGATTATTGTGACATGCTTTGAAACAGCAGCATTCATTACGTATTATCTATGTATTGGAGTTTGGGAAATTAATGCCCCAGGAAATGCAATGACTCACCAAAAATGATAGGGTCACCAAAGGTCACCAAAAATGTATGTTCAAGTCATGATTAAAATCCAAGCTGTAAATCTCCATTGTGTTTGCTACACAATCTTTTTTGCTCTTTGTATTTCATTCTAGATTTCTTTTCCTTTTAAACCACATCCTACGTTTGTACACTCAGATGGGAAATTCCACTGTGCTGCTTTTGTTGTCAAACTGTAATTGGCATTTAGCCAACAATTACTTAAATATGACTTATTTGACTTTGTGAGCCTTCCTTTCCTTTGGTTTCGGGCTCAAAGGATGGAGAGAGAGTGGGATTACTGGGAAAGAAGAGCCAGGCTGTAGGGAATGGTGGGCAGAGAACCAGAGAGGAAGAGCCCAAGGAACTCCTCAAGTGATGGAGTGACTGTGAGATACGTTGCTGCTGCTGCTGTTGTCTCTTATCCACAGATGATCTGAGATACATGATTTTTCCAGCATTTCAGTGCTGGGGGGTAGGGAGAAACAGAGGTTAGAAGTAAAGGAGGTACGAGGAGAGGCTGGAAGAGAGCTGGCTGCATGATGGACCTTTCCTTATATTACCTGCTCCAATACCTCCACTACCCAGGAGGGTAGGGTGCAGATGGTGTGTATTTCTCTTTTTATAGCTTATATCTTCTCTAAAAATATAATGCTTTAAGTGTATACCTTCTCCCAAATTATAGCAATAGAGTCAACTTTCACAGTGCCTACAATTTCTGATATGTGACTTGCAGGCGTGTTGCCCAGGTGTCTAGAGGGGACTATATGACAGCCTTTAGAGGGAGATGCAGTAATGCTCTGGTTACAGGCTGCTTTTTTTATCAGGTGTGATAAGGGACTCTGTTCTTGGGCCAACTGACCTAGAATTCCCAATGTTTGTAGTAGCTCTCTGTTGTAGAGCAAATAAGTCTTTAGACATTAACATATAATATCATCGATACTTAGTCATCATGTAGGGTTGGACATTAATTTCTTAACTTCTGTTTTTCTCTCAATGCCAGATGAAGAGAAATGAGCATGAAATTCAGAGTGATAAAATTGTAATTTATACATATAAACAGATGAGTGAAGAATAATTTTCATTTAAGGGCATTTGTCTTCATTTTGGAACTTCCTGAGTATTTATCTTAGCTTTAATTAAAGAAAACAGATGTGTAAAAAGATTCATTTGTCCTAATAATAGTAAAAAAAATAACATATGTTTATCTTTTTCATTCCACTATATTTTGTGAAAAAACATTCATCTGTATACTACTATATATATACATAGTATGACTTAAAGAATAATATTTTAAGATAGAGAGATACTTTGCCTTTTTGCCTGTTTTGCAACTGCAATTTGAGAACAGCTAGCCACTGAGGTTAAAGATATAAGCATGGGAACCATCTAGATCCTGTCTAGTGGGTTTAAAGGCTGTGATGCCACACAGTATCCAGGAACCAGAGCCCTTCGACTCACAAGATCCTTTCTTTTCCAATACAAAATTTGCAGTTTAGTTTCTGAAGCTTCCCTTTTCCTACTTTTCTTATCACTAATATTTCTGTTTCTTGAGACAAGCTAAATGTAATTTTATCTTTTGAAGTCTTTGGAAAGATAACTTTGTGATACAAGTAAAACAAGACAGTCTCCGACTCAATTCTCTTCTATTTAAACTTTTACACTCAACATCAGATGGGCTGCTTACTATCTAGGTGTACTTTGTGAATCCTAATTTTAGTTTGGACAGGATAATTTCAGTTGCTCAATTAAACTATAAGTACTACTCAGAAAATATGATGTTGCTTAAAAGAAGCAGGTCGTGTTCTAAGACTTTGTTAGTCCTCAGAGCTTGTGCTGTTGTGGTTTCAGTATTTGAGGAAATTGTCAGAATATTCAAGTCACTGAAATAAAAACAATGATTGGACTAGATGATCTTCAAGGTCTTTTCCAACCTAGATGATTCTGTGACAAGACAAGGTCACTTGTAATTTTTATAAGGAATCTTTTTTTGTTAAGTGCCATTTGGAAGGCTAAACTCAGGTTTCTAGGAAAAGATTTTGCATGTAAGATTTGTCTGGTTTTAAGGAACTTTTGATCTGTGAGCATTGTGTCTGGTGAATTCAAATAATATAACTTCCTCATAAAACAAAAAGATTTCTGTTGAGGGGGAATAAATTACCTACAATGAATGCACTTACCTACATCTGTGAACATGATTTCTCAGATTAAAAAAAAAAAAAAAAAGTCATAGATAAAAATGAAAAATCACGAGGAAATTAAATTAAAATAAAAAAGCTTTATTGCCCTTTCACACAGAATCTCAGATCTCTTACCTTCCAAGGAAGGCCCTTCAGAAGAAGGAAATGAATAAAATACTTGAATCTTCAGTTAAAATTGTTCTAGATTACAGGAAAACAAGAATCATGTCAGTTTAAGAGATTGTGGAAAGTAACATTTATAATTTTTTTTTCCTAAATTTTGAGACTTACTTTATTATTGATATATTTATATAGGTATATTACCTTTTATTGTTTCCTAAGAGTAAATGCAGGCTCTCATTCAGGTAGTACATCCTCTTGGGTTAAAAAGTGGTATAGAGCACAATTTTTTAATCACTGATCGTTTGATGGATTCTGTGTTTATTGACAAGGTAGAGTAGAAATAACATTGTTGTAACCACAACAGTGTAGAATTAAAGATCTAACAAGTGGCAAAATGAAGTCACTGCAAACATTAAAAATGTTGCATCATCCTAAAACATGCGTAGCTGAATACAGATAAATATACACAGATTCTAAACACGTTGTTGCATTGTGAAAGGTGTTTTAAACAGATCTAAGTCCTGCTCAAGCTTGTGCAGGCTATTACTCACCTGAAATATTAATTTCTGTTGTCAGCTTTAGTTCAAATTACATTTGTATATACATTTGTGAATTTTAACTAGTTGATTCAAGCTTAGTTTTGACTTCAAATCAATCATATCGTTCCAATTTTAAGCAACTCCATAAAACTATGGTCTGCTGAGGTGCAAAAATGCTTGCAGTTGTCCTGAGAAAAATCCATAAAAAATGTGAGCGTGGCTTGTTTTGACAAATTTCAACATGAGTCACGAATACTCAGGATTCTTACACCTTCGAACAAGAATTTTCAAGCTGCATAATTTTGATCCCAAAATACTGTCTCATGACATGTTATCACAAATAAATTCTCAGACCTTAAGACATTGCTTTTTATAACTAGTCACAGAATTATGATCTCTAATATATAGGAACTGTCTTCTTTTTAGATTTTATACTCCCTGAATAATAGATAAATATTGAACTGCAGTGTTAGAAAAATTATTTTGGATACATGGCACAGAATTCTGTTTGTTTCTGATAATGAAACCTAAAGATCCCTGCTCCATTAGTCATCATATTATTCATGCATACACTAGAGATTCATTAGTAATGAAAACTTTACTCTGAGGTGGATTTTAATAGGAATTTAGGCTCTCTCTGATGCAACTGCACTGAGATCTCAAACTTGGTTTTACTTAGAATGTGAAAGTAAAATGCACACAATGGTTTTTGTATTTCTAAAGTAAAAACATCCTGTGAGAAGGGCACATGGTACACAGAATCTGAATAAAATCATGTTGCACTCTAGTGACTGATTCCAGTGTTCTTTGAGATGGACCATGCAGCTGTCCTTATTGTAGTTCTCCAACTTTGTGGAAGTAAGATTGTTTTCTTGTTCCTAGCTAACATCTTTGTTTCTCTTATCACATCATGACAGATATGATCACAATTCACAAGTGTGTTACTGTGTGGTTCAAACAACTCTTAACTGTTCAATAATATTCACAAATTAGAAGTAATAATTTCTAGGGTTTGGGATTTATTTTTTTTTTTTAGTGAACTTTTTCTTCAGTGTTTTGGTGGTTGTGCTGCCAAAGTTGTTTCTGAGTTTTTCTGTATTTCAATTTTCAATTATGTTAATTCTGAAACTGAATTTCTGTTTGTGCCTTAGCCAACGTGGAAGGAGAGTTTGTGGATTCAACTGTAAAACTTACTGAGAAGGTGAAACTGGAGTGCATATATCCAAAAAAAGCCATGATAATGCAGACATCCTGGATGAAACTTAATGTAACTCACAGAGAAAATATCGCTGTCTTGCATCCAATCTATGGCATACATATTGAAGACAAATACAGTGGCAGAATTTATTTTGAAAATGCTTCCAGGGAAGACAAGTCCTTATCCTTCACCAAGAGCACTTTGGAGGATGTTGGTCTTTACTTTTGCTCCATTGTAACTTACCCAGATGGAATTTGGGAAAAGGTAATAGAAATTATTCAGACAGGTAAGTTAATTTCTTGTTCTTTTTAAATGTCTGATATATGAAAAACAGAAATCCATGCCAATTTAGGGAGTATCTGGCATCATAATTTTCCTTTTTAATTATATAGCATGCAGAAATGGAGTAATTTTTTTGGAAAAAAACCTATTACTCTGGCAAAGTTAATTTTAAGGGAAGCAGGCAGTAAGAAGGGGAAATGGAGGAGACGGACAAAACTGACAACAGCAATGTATTACATAGCAGACTTCAGGTACTAATGGTCATTGCTACAGTGATATTTCCTTTGGGCCAAGGTTGTCATAGCATTTCAACAAGCTATAGGATCTCTTCAGAGGGTGAAATTGCAACTACCCATGAAATTACATAGATGAACCTTGTAACTACCCATGGAGGATACCATGTTTTTATCATTATGTTATATGGTAAAGGAATTCCTGGTCTGAAACTAGAATAGTTTTTATTCTGGAAGCCCTCCTGTACTTGCTTTTTCAGGAACAAAATAACTATTTAGGAATGGTGTTTCAACAAAAGTGAGGGAAGTACAGAATTTTAAATGCAGGAAAAAGACCTTTTCTTTAGAGGCTTTTTAAAAGATGACAAAGGGAAGAAGGAGAGAAAAAGATCCAGCTATGCCCATGCACTTTCTGTGTAGCTGTCCATGTACTTTCCAATGTCTCTGTAATTACCTGACCATTCATCCAATTCAGTTTCTTTTCCAGTTCTATGAATAAGAGGAGGAAGAACACTTTTCTAGCATTTTCCCATGCATGCCTATTCAGCATTTGTCAACTCTCAACTCTGATGCAAAGTATCATGCTTCTCTGATAGAAGTGCTTAAAAGATCATTATGTACATATGATAGAATAGGCTTCAAAAGATAAATAGTTGCTTGCTGGTTTGTTGATTTGATATTGTGAGTATAGAAAGAATCTGTTCCTCTTTCCCATTCTCCAGAGTGAAAATAGACCCCATTCAATATTTTATTGTATTTCCCAGCTAGGAAAGAATGGATTGAAAGGAAAAATATAGTTTCTGGCATTTGAAAGACCAGAAGATAAAAATAACAGTTCTTTTCCTAGCCTCGTACCTTCCGAGTCTTCATTTCAATCTTATTTTATCTATGCTTGTTCCTGCCTGCACCACTGAAGGCTTTTGAAACTTGATTTTAGCCAGCACATTTGTTGATGGCACTAATGAAATAGGAATCCCAATCAGTCTTTCTGCCTCTGTTAGCTTTTTGTTAGTAAACATTGCTGTTTATCAAATCAGAAATTAAGCCACGCACAAATTATTTCCCTGACTTTGGAAAAAAAATAAATTCTGTCTCCCCTAGATTGTTTAGTTAGATAAATTTAGAATTTACATTATTTTCCCATGTGGCACATAGGCATAGCCATACAATTCACAGTTATTTACATGTAGGAGGAATGTCCTGCTAGTGAAGGAGCTGAGTGGAGTCCCTCAGGGTAGGCTTGCAGTCCAGGTCAGTTCCTCAGCTGTGATTCTCTTAGTGGCATCTCTGAATGCTTGTTTCACTCTGGTGTCTTTTTTGTAATGTAAGGAATAATGTTACTAAAATAGTATCTCCCTATCTTCTTTTTCTCTGGTAGTCCATTTAGTGCACAGTATTATTCCTAGTGTAGGCATTAGAAACATACTTTTTTAGTTGCATTCATTGCTGTTTACAAAAAAAAAAACCAGGCAAACCAGATCTCTCATGTGGTTTAGTCCAACCTGAGTTGTGGCAGTGCTGAGCCCTTTTGCACATTGCGTTAAATCTTCTATAAAATCCTGAAAGTTAGATGCAGTAGAGATCTGCAAACCCATTTAGTCCTTTTCCTAATAAAGGCAATACCTATCTCAGCTATTTGTTCCTGAATGTATTGGCTAGGGCTAATCTGAAATGATGCAAGAAACAAGACAGTCACTTTACTGTAGGATGTTAACCTTCAGTCCAATGCCTTTATTAGGCAACCCACTTAGATTTCAGCACATTGTAAACCACACAAAGAGTGGATCAGTTATCAGAGGTATGTTTATTTTTAAATGATACTGTAGAATTCAGTATTCTCAGTATGTAGGATTTCTCTCTTGGTTTAAACATACTAAATCAGAAACCTAAACCAACAGTAAACCCCTCATTTTTCAAGTATACCAATTTAATCCTACTACAAAGAGAGATAATGTTGAATAGAAATTAATCCTTTTTCATGTAAAGAATCAAGGTTTCTGAGAACAATCCTGTTCAGATCCTGATAGATGTGTATAAACATGATCTTTATAAATACTGATCTGAAGAGAATGAAGTGTATCACCAGAGAAGATAAAATATTATGTCAATCTACAATGAGAATTAAATAGGTTATTAAAACCAGATTTTAGAGAAAGTATTTATTTATATAGTAGTTATAGTAGAATTATCAGTCAGGCTTTATCTTTGTTTACTAGCACCTTCATCACTAAATATTTTAAACTCCTTAGATGACATCTTGCTTTGATTAAATAAACAGTAAACTTCAAATTCACTTCCATGAAGCTGGTATTTTAGCTTGTTGCTGACACTAGATAAATAATTTTTCTTTGTCTTCCAACCTATAAAATTAGGACACTAATGTTCAGTCTTCAAAGTTTTTTTATTCTGCACCAGGGACAGATCTTTGCGAAAGGTGAGTGTTAGTCTCATAATTTCACTGTACACGGATCTTGTTCTATAGGATTAATATACACAAACAGGAATCTGATATTCACCAGAATAAAGAACTCTGTCTAACATACTAGAAAGGTAATTTAACAAGCAATTAAAACTTTTTCCAATTACACTGTTTTCTTGAGTTAGGATTTATAATTTATTGATTCTCAATAGACATTACTTTTCTAAAAGCATTTACCTACAGTACCCCAGACAAATAAACAACCCATTGCAAAATCCATTTCTTCTGTTTACAACAGTTAATCAACAAACATTTAATAGACTATTTTTATTTATTTTTTTTTTAATGGAATTGCATGATGTCTAATCATTTGCAATTTGTGGTTTTAGTTTTAAAGATTGGTTGGCTAAACTAACCTTGTATATGCCTTTAAATGGATGCAACTTTCTGGACTTATAATATTCAACATGAAACTTAAACTTTCCCTGCTAAATCAGCACAGATTAAGTTAAATTGATATTAAGATTTTTGTGTCAATAAAAACTGAATCCTGGTTTATAATTTAGTTTGTGCTACTAGGGCATTTATGTATACTGACCTGTTACTATGGGACCCAGTGACATTCTTGCACCAGTTTAAGTAGGGAAGTATACCATTGAGGAATCTGCAGCACATTCCTTAAAGAAAGCTGGCAACAGAATATAGATATAGAATATGTGACTGGCTTTCAGAATTTCCATTGAAAGGAAATAAATAGAAATAATGCCATATGGCATTACATCCATCATGGAGATTCTTAACTAACTTAAAGTATAAGGTAAAATGTTCTTCACATGGTGATCACATCTGCTGGATGCTACATAAATTTGGATAAAGTATCTTGGGTTAGCTTGCTTGCAAAACAATAAATGTTTTTGCTCTCAAACTGTTCAAAGTTGCTCTAGTGTTTAATTCCTGGTAATCAACAGAGTTCATAGGTCTGATTCTGCTTTCCGATGTGCTTTGTATAATTTTTTTAAAACTACAAATGCAAAGTGAATAAAATTGGTATGATTGTGATCTGTCAACATTTGTAATTTTTATAGTTTGAAGACTCATTGCTGATGCTTAATGAGTAAATATTTCAAGTAGTGTCTAATGGTTACAGTAGTGACCCTAAATCTAACAACTCAAGTGTTAACAAGACTCTGACACTGCAAGATCAAGCAGTTAAAAGTTTGGGGATCATCACCTGCTTTTTTAAACAAAAATACAGAAAGAAAATAAATAAGTCAAGTATTTGAAAAGCATTTACTCTTTAGAGTAAAGGTGTCTTTATAAATAAAAGGTCCACTGTTGTTAGAGTCTTTCATATGTGATTAAAGATGATATTGAGTGAATAAAAGTTCATAACAGATCTGCAGTGTATGAGGTGGCAAAATAATACTGGAGAAACTATTTAGGACTGCCCCTGGCTTAGTCTCTGGTCACAGAACAGCAGTTCACCCCACCGTGATCTGGGTAGGGTGAATGTGATTCTCAATAAGGGACAAAAGTTTAAAAAAAAAAAAAAAAAGAAAAAAGCTTAATCTTGGAAAAGCAATGGCTGAGCTGTCATAAGGACCTGAGATCTAAGGAGACAGAGAAGGTTATAGCTCTCATTACAGAGGTTTTTTCTTGGTGCACTATCTTAATTGCATCACTGGCTGACAGAAGACCCTAGAAATGGTGATAAATCACCACTTATATAATTTTTTAATTTAATTATTGTAGTAATTGATTTTTTTTTAGTAGATTTGGTCTTAGTTTAGTCCTGGGACTGTATCAGCATACATAATAAAAATGCTAGCATGTATTTTGTTCTTTTTGCATTAAATTTTGGTTAAAAATTTCTTATGACATCTATGAAACAGGTAAGAAAGAACACTTGCAGACTGCACAACATCATCCATGCTTTCTTTATTGGCAGTTACTAAAACAGACAGAGAAGCAATGATATGTAGTTTATTTTATTGGAAACTTCACATATTATGTAGGTACAGGATATTCTTAGAAGTAGATGCAGTGTTGAAATTCTGAACCATAATTGCGAAGAACTTGAGAATATGTTCTGCCACTGTTACACGTGAATATATTGGCAAAGAAGAGTCTAGTTTTCCCGCAGGAAGATTCTTGCCAGCTGGGTGAATCTGTTGCTTCTTTTTCCCTTAGTGTGAACATATATCCAACAGTTTTGAGAACTGAATTCAAGGGATTTTTTCCCTTAATGTTCTCACATTTTATGAGTCACAAATACTCCTGCACTAAGCAATCTAAACTCATACTGTCAGAGAAAACTCCCTGTACATTTTCTGATAAGATGTGAAGATTATG